AGGTCTTGAGAAAGATTTCAAGAAGCTACGGGCACACATCAATGCAAAGCTAAGAGGGAGGTAAAAATTGTTTGACACAACTCATAATTTTGGTGTACATAATATTTTGGCTAGCACATTATGATATGTTGGTACGTTATTTATTGCTATGCTAAATGGGTTGACTATGCATGACTAAAATTGGTTCCATACTCATCTAGTGTGTCTTAGCTATTTTATTTAATTGTGTTTAGTATGTCTCAATATTTTAATTTGGACCTAGAATTAATATGTGACACGTATAAATGAGAAGATAAAATTTAGGGGGAAGAAAAATTCAAGCTAAAAAGGAAAAATGGCAAACCCCACGATCAAAGTCTCAAGTATACGTTTAGGATTGTCCAATTTTAAAATCTCTAAGTCTCAATTTTTATTAAACCCGTCAATTGGCTAGTCGAAATAAAATCGAAACAAAAGAAATTATTTTTCAAATTGACAAAGCCAAAATGACTTGGGTATAAGTTTTGGCATCATAAAAAACGGGGAAATTGTTAGGAATAAATTGTAAATTTTGATGAGCCGAATGTATTTTTGAAAAATCAAGTAGTCCCCAATTTTATTTGAGTCAGTTTGAGTCTACAGAGTATGGTGCACCCATATCATGCAACCCACGTACAAGTCTTGAAGATCATAATTTATCTAAAGAAGTTAAGCAGGATTATAGCTTAACAAAATTATGATGCGGATAAGTCATGCTAAGAACTATGCTAGAGGAGTTGGATGATATATGTGTAAGCTATGCTAAGTGATCCTAAGTTCAAATCTCATGATAAGCATTTTTGCCTTACTTGAGAGACTAAGGAGCGACTAAGCAAACCGTATTGGAGACTAACCCAAGAAGAAGACTAGCAAGCTTGGGAGACTAACCCTAGAAGAAGACTAGCAAGCTTGGGAGACTAGGCAAAAAGGAGACTAACCAAGTTGGCTACTAAGTAGCTTGGAGACTAACCAAGTCAAATGCACAAGTCTCAGACTAACCAAGCAAAATGCACAAGTCTCACAAAATCCATGCACTGATGAAGAAGCACACCAAGTAAGGTAGACCAAGCACAAAATAGAAACAGAGAATCTCACCATGCACAAACTATAAAGTTTTTACAGAGGTTCCAATATATCATTCTACATGGATCGTGAAGGAGAAAATAACTGATATATTTTCATCTGAACAACAATGTTTTTACGATGGAACCAGAAACGCTCGAAGAAAGCTGATTCACAAAGATATATTTTCATACTGAAGCAAGAAATAGCAGATGAATTATTTGATCAACTTGATATGTCAAAACATTTATGAAGGACAAGAAATGTCAAGCTTGCCGCGCCGAACTTATTCAAATTTTGGAGGCTACAAAATTCAAGACACGGCAACGGGCAAAATATTCAAATCATCTGACAAAAGGCGAAAAGACTACTGCCTAACATTTCAGATCAAGTTGACAACTTTATTTTGATCAACTACATACGAAGATGGACGATCGAGATCGAAAGTTGATCAACGGGCAAATAGCTTTCATTGGCTATAAATTGTCCAAGCAGACTTGAAGACAAGTGACCCCGATTGAGCGATCTACAAATTGAGTACGGCTGATCAATTAAGATATACAAGCAAGAGAAAAGCAAGCAATATTCAAATCAGCCAAGAAGCAATATATTGAGCTATATACAATAGAATTCAAGTCTGAGAGAGAGAAATATTTTATTTCTTTGTAAACTTCTCTACTGAGTGTATAAAGAGGGCAGAGTAACTGGAGAGAGTGAAAAACGCTGGTTGAGTGTAGCTTTGTGCGTAGCACTCGGTGTAAAGGGCAGAGTAACAAGGGGAGCTTGTAAAAACCTTGTGAGAGCGTAGCTTTGTGCACAGTTCTCGTGGTGAAGGAGTACAGCTTGGTGCGAAGTACTCGGGAAGGCGGAGTAACAAGAGGAGCTTGCGAAAAACCTTTGAGGAGTGTAGCTTTGTGCGAAGCACTCGGAGAAGTGTCGGTGGACACTTATTCACTATTGTATCTGGGTGATCGAAGAATAGTGAATTTCCTCCTTGAAGTGAAAGGAGAAGAGTGGAGTAGGAGAATTACACCATCTCCGAACCACTATAAATCTCTCTCTCTCTTTACTTACTGTTCATATATTTTGTGCATGCTCATTCTAACTGCGAACTAACTCGATTACGATTTATTGCATATCTTTATCTATCTGGGTTTGATAGTTTCCACGTTTGCATGCAAGCCAAACTTTACGTACATCTTCCTTGAACCATATCAAGTGCTTCTAACGTGTTGCATGTTTAGAATCTCTCTTTGAGCACCACACAATCAAGCATAACACTTTACCGCTATCTATTCCGCTGCACACTCTAAGTTGTTTAACTTGTTGATGCTTGTTACTTAGAGTTGAATTTACCAAAGTGTTATTTACCTTGTGTGTTTTGAGAAGAAGAAAAGAAAACTTAGAGAAGTCTATTCACCCCCCCCCCCCCTAGACTTCTCGCCACCCTTTCGGGCCAACAGTATACAAAATGAAACTGAATAACAATTTCACATATTTGAGTGTATATTGTCCAGCGAAACTGTAGTTATATCAAAATATATTGTAGGTCTGTTGAAATGAAACTTCAGTGTATATTTGATGCCTAGACCACAATGCATTGTGGACCGCGGTCCACAGTATTATTTGCCACATATGACCTACATGATACATGTTGTAAATAAACACATAAATAACTATATATTAAATTTCGAGTTAATAATCAAAATGGCCCTTGACTATGCTGTAATTACCAATTTAGTCCCCAACTATCATTCTTACCCATTTAAGTCCTTAACTAATATAATTTTTACCTAATTTAGTCCTCCGTTAATTTGTTTGTTTGTTGACCGTCAAAAATGAGGACAAAATTGTAATTCTACTGGCTTTTTTTCTCCTTCCCCATTTAGCATCGTAAAACCTCCGGCGACTGTGTATAAAATCCACAGTAGATTGCTCACCAATTACCAGTTGTTAGTGTTGTTGGTTTGTTATACTATTTAAATGTTTATTCCAATATATTCCATCATCCAACCATCAAAACTCACTCTTCGCCTAACTACAAATACACTAGAATTTCCCAAGTGGATCTCTCTGCAGTCTGCACCCACCCTGGTCCCTCTACCTTCTGTATAGTGGCACAAACAACAACCCCAAACTGCTTCTCTTGCTCTCTTCTAACATTCTAACAAACTCATAATAAATAAATTTAGAAATTTGGGAAATCGCTACCCAAATCTTTCTCGTCTTGGGGGAAGAGGAGGTGAAGGCGGGAGGCGAAGTGGCCGGTGGGCTCGACGGCAGCTTCAGCTAGAAGGCTTTGCCTGATGTGATTCATGCGTTTAGTAAGTCCTTCTTGCTCTTCTTTCAGCGCCTCCATGTCCTCTTGGAGATCGTTGAATCAGTACTTTTGGCCCAGAGAGCGCACGCTCAAGAGAAGAATTCCGGTCATCGCGAAGAATTGAATGAAGCTGTGTTTTCTCTTCATTGCGTTGGCGAAAAGAAGCTTGGCGAAAAGGCCGAGAGGCTTCTTAGTGCTTCCTACGCCGCCGGGGAAGGCGGGGCGCGACGGCGGTGCAGTGGAAGCCATGGTGATCCAGCTCCTAGCAGCACTGAAAGTAAGAGTTTTGACCGTGGAAATGGTGCATGTACTGAAATTCCATAAAAACCCTCAATTTTGTCAGTCAATTAACAGTTGACCAAACAGAGGATCAAATTGGATAAAATTTTCATAGTTAAGGACTTAATTGGGTAAAAATAATAATCGAGGACCAAATTGGTAATTTCGCTATAGTCAAGGGACCATTTTGGTTATTAACTCTTAAATTTCAGTTGCTTGATATATGTTGTAAATAAACATATAAATAGCTGTATGTTGCTTGAATGGTCAAATAATATTGAAATAACTTGAAATAATTGTATTTATTATTTAGTTATTACAGTATTACAGAATATAGAATTTTATGAAACTGCTTACAACCTTGAAAAGCATCTTGCCTTTCATTCTCTGGTCTCCGATTATTATTGAGCCATTAAGTTTCACCATTTCCTGATTTTGAATTTTTTTTAAGAATACAGCACTACTGAATTGTCGCCTATGCTGGGAAACTTATTTCCTACATTTATAACCTTAAACCATAATACTACTATACTACTATCTTATACATACAACATTTATTCATAACTTTTACTTTTACACTCTCCAAGGAAAAATGTACTAATCATCTTACCTAGGTAGTATAAAAGGGATGAGAACACTAATAATTGTATTGAATGAGATGAGTACAAAGAATACAGACAATGAGAACATATATACGGAAGAGTCACAGAATGATTGGGATAAGAAATCATAAACTGACTCAAATACATAAAGTCCTAATACCACCCCTCAAGCACATGGTATACTAGTAATCTGTAGCTTGTCTCTAACAAAAGAAAATCTAGGACCGATAGAGCTCTTCTCGTAAAATATCTGTAAGATGATCTTTGGTTGAGATGAAGTTGACTTGAATATCTCCAGAAACCACTCTATCTCGCACAAAGTGATATTCAATTTCTACGTGCTTGGTGTGTGCATGAAAGATTGGACTAGCACACATATAGGTAGCACCTAGATTGTCACATCATATCTTTGGAATAGAAATACCTGGCACCTTTATTTCGCGTAGCAACGAAATAATCCATAATATATACCTCTACACCGATATCTGCTAGGGCTTTGTATTCCGCCTCAGTGGAAGACCTAGCAACAGTTATTTGCTTCTTATAGATCCAAGATATAAGATTAGTCCCCAGAAAAACAGCAAAACCACTAGTGGATTTGCGATCTTCAGGGCAACCAGCCCAATCATAATCAGAAAAAGAATGAATTTCCTTTAACATGGATTTCCGTATACGCAACCCAAACCCAACTGTTCCCTTAACATACCTCAACACATGTTTCAGCTGCTCCCAATGTGATGTGGACAAAGCTGATTAACTGCAAAGGATAAATCAGGTCGTGTAACAGTGAGATATTGTAGTGCTCCAGCCAGGCTCCTATACTGCGTATGATCATCATATAAGTGTGCACTAAAGGGAACAATTTTTGAAACAGATATAGGAGTAGAGAGAGATTTGCATTCTGCCATGCCGGCACGTATCAAAATATCATTCATATATCGTGGTTGAGACAATAGAATTCCATCATCACATTTAACAGTTTCAATGCCAAGAAAAAAATTTGGTTCACCAAGATCTCTAATCTTGAAAGTGGCAGACAATTTTGAGAGTAAGTGAGTAACTAGAGGCTGATCACTTCCCATTAGAAGAATATCATCCACATAGACCAACAAATAAACCAGTGCAGAATCTTGAGAGAAATAGAATAGAGAGACATCTGTCTTTCACGCTTGAAACCAACAGATATTAAAAACGTGTGTAAAAAATTAAACCAAACTCTAGGAGCTTGTTTTAATCCATACAGTGAACGTTTTAATAAGCAGACATAGTGTGGAAAACTAGCATCAATATAACCAAGGGGTTGCTTCATGTAAAAAATTTCATCCAAATTTCCATTTTAAAAAGAATTATGAACACCTAGCTGCCTGATAATCCATCCAGATGATAAAGCTAAGGATAAAAAAACCTTACAATTGTGGGTTTGACCACTAGACTGAATGTTTCAAAGAAATCCGGACCTGGAACCTTATTGAAACCGTTTGCTACTAACCTGGATTTATGCCTCTCAATAGTGCCATCAGCCTTCCTTTTCATGCAAAACACCCATTTTCACCTAATAAAATTCATACTTGTGGTGGAAAGAACAAGGACCAAGTCCGATTATGTAGAAAATCATTAAATTCTTGGTCCATAGCATCACGCCACTCAGGACACTTAACAGCTTGAGTCTAACATGTAGGTTCCGTAGGACAAACCTGAGTAGTGACCAAACATATCCGCTTAGGTTGTGGTTCCTTGAAAGCGTGGTCAAAAGAATGAAGTTGTGTGTGTTTGGGATTGTTATGGATAGATGGTAAAACGGGGAGTCGGAACCACCCCGAGTATCGTTCCCTCGACGAATGACAACTTGGAAGTTGGGCTTGAGAAGAGGTAGGGTAGATGAGACACTTGAAGACTCATTTCGGGAAATGGAATTGACGTTGTTGGTTTGGAAGGCTATTAGAAAGCTATTGAAACGGAAAAAGGTAGATCAGGGGAATAATAATTTACTCAGAGAGAGAAAGGCGGGTAGGATTGGGTTTCGATTGTGTTATGTGATTGGTCAATCCCTCAAAGGGAGTCTTGTGGTGGTTTGATTGTGCGCTACTAGTCAAGACGGTTTGGTCTAACGCCGCCCGTAGGAACTCTTGTTCTCTATGAGGCATTTAAGCAAACACTTTGCCCTCACCTCTTTCCAGGTCTTGCCCTCTCGGATCGAAGACAGAGAAATGAAGAGGATCAAGGCTACCCGGATCTAGCAATCTCTTGCCTAGACCTAGGTTTCCAACGCCATCCAAGGAGTTGGGCCCCACTCCAATAGTGTCACAAAGATCATCCTCAACAACAAGACATCCACATAGTCAACAATCAATCAAACATCACAAGATAAGCAAATCAAAGCATCATCACAATAACAATCTACACCTCAATCCTAACCACTAGATTTAGCCAAGCATGGTTAAGATCTCAACAATCAAAGGGCAAAAAGAGATATAACAATAAAGCACAAGATAGAATTTACCCCAATCGTTTAGATCCACCAAATACAAATCGTTGATGAAGATCTACTAGCCAAAATGCCTTCAATCTTCAAGCTTCTTTGCAAAATCTAGCATACAAGGTGTTTGCTATTGTAGATCTAAATCTCTCTCTAGAAACCTATTCGAACCCTACTAACCTCTCTCTAAAAATGTGATCTAAACTAGTGAAATCTCTCTACACAAAATTGGCTCTCTTGCAAAATGAGACTTTGAGCTTTAAATATCATGAAGCCATTCGGCCTCCCATTCACGCACGGCGTCATGTCGTGACGCTGGTGTGAATGGGGTATTAATCCCTCCGCGTCTTAAGCTTCATCCGGCCTCTTTAGTGTCTCGTTCACGGCGCCCTCACGCCGTGAGGAGGGGCGTGAATGGGAACTAATTCCCATTCCGTCTCTCTTCTTCGTGCATAGCCTTGGCGTGTTCGGTCCTCGTTCGCGTACTTGCCTCGGCTTAGCTTTTCCAGCCCTTCTTACCACGTTTCGTGTCCTAAAATGTCCAAAAATAGATAAAATAGAATTTGGACGGTCTTTCCCATCACTTTCGTGCTTTTAAGAGAATTTGCTCTATAAATAAGACTTTTCGGCTAAAATGCACATGTAAAACCTTAGAAAAGCTCACTGAATTCTAGCATGTTTTGAGACTTATCACAAGTTTCGACACTTTAGCTTGCTTGTCCCCAAGCAATTTTTTCAATTAAGTCCTGATAAACTCAAAAGATGCCTTTGAACAAAGATTTTTGATATGCCAAGTGTTTCTTTAAAAGAGAGCAAACGCTAGACTAGCATAGAATGGAATTCCCTGAATTGTTTTGAAAATGTGTAAATCACGCACCAGTCAACAACTCGTGGAATAATATAGAAAACCGTCCCCTTAAAAAGGAAAAACGTTTGAGCAAAAACGGTGACCTTACTATAGACACCACTCTTCATGCATGCAATCCAAATTGAGAATTCACCTCCTATTTTACTAAGGCCTATAGCCGAGCCACACTAGTGGGAACGATGTGCACAACCCAACCGACTTCCAACCTTATAGCGCCAAGGCCCTCTACAAAAATTAAGTGAAAAGGTTTGGTATGGACCGCTCACCAGCCTTATGCCAATGTCCAGTCTCCTCCGGCACAGAGCTCTGAGTTTAAACCCGGGTAGACTTTTAATGGTCCCGACTAAAGCACTGCTTCTCACCTTCCTCCACCCTTATGCCAAAGATTGATTCCCCTCGGCATAAATATCTATGTTTTAGCCCAGAGGAACATTTTGTGATCTCGACATAAGCAATGGCTCCCTCATTCGCTCATATATTTTTTCAGTATTTTTTCCTTTGGCAACCATTCTCAGACTTTGCCTTTTTCTCTTGTAATCCCCTTCTACTATCACTCATACTTTTTTCGTTTGGGATTTTTTTTTTCAATTTATCCACAAGCCTCACCTTTTGCTCCATGCCTAACCAAAAGATTTGTTCATTTCCGACCTTGCTTTGTTTTATCTTTCCAAGGTTGGCAAGTGCACACTCCCACTTCGAGAAATCGTTTACTAAGGTCTAGGCAAAATAAGAGGTAAATTATCATACAATCATGCAATAAAAATAACCCTACTTGGGACCCATACAATCCTAAGGGTGTAAGAGAAAAATTTTCAAAGTTATTCCAAAAATTTAGCTAACTAAGCATCATAAAACACATTTTCAAAACGATGCAACCAATTCCATTCATTTCCTTAGTCGCATGTGCTATCTAATGATTACACATAGGCATGCCAAAATTTTCTTTTTGAAAAACTAAAGCACAAAGTGTGCGCCCCTTTCCACACTTTAGAACAACATCGTCCTGATGTTCATTACTATGGACGCACCGGTGTGAACAAGAGCAGGAAAGTGAAACCTTGTTTCCCTTTCCACACTTTAGAAGTGCAGTGAGGGGTGCCCCTTTTTGTTCATACACACCCAGAACTTAATCTAAGGGAGTTGTCCCTTTCCACACTTTAGGAATAGCCAATGGGACCTAAGGGACAACAACGCATGCAAAGAATAAAGTCTAGCTATAAGCACAGGAAAGTACCTTTCCACACATTAAAAGCAGAAACCAAGGAAAGGTAAAAGTTTAGAGAAAAGAAAAAACCCCTTCATTGTAGGAGAATTTCCTCAGTCATTGATGAAGAATCTGTTCCCCATTATGTGGACAACATGAATATGCAGTTAAGCGTTAGTGGCAAATGCTTCAATATTGCTAATAAAGATGTATAAGGATGATATAACATCATCATTGTTCCTGTTTAAGCATAGAGTTAAGCTTGCAGGTAGATGGGTTTCAAAAGATAAGAGAGTTCACAAGTTTTATTCATGAAATACTAAGAGAGGTAAAAACTTGCATGAAAAAAAAATTAAGAACAAGTAAAATAAAGCAGTTTAAGAAGGATAAAGGGCGACACCCCACGTATAGGGTACCAAGAGTTTAGTTAACGAGAACCAAGCAACAAACAGAGTCACAAATTCAATAAAGTCTCGAAGAAAGTGTGATGGTCTAGCTTCTCGTTCCTGTAAGGATCAGTTTGAACGTGTCGAACTGAGGTCGTCGTGGTCATGATTAGGAGGAGTAGCCTCACCCGGGTCCTGCTGACTCTGGATGGCCTCTAGTACTGTGCTCACTATTTCCCTGTGCATCTGGTGTATGAATGCTCTTAGTGACACCCAATCTGTCACTTGAGGTAGTCTTTCTAGCACTTTCGGCGGAATCGGCTCGCTTCTAGGTGCTTCCTGTGTGCTACTATGGCGGTCAACGGGTGTACACCTATGTGGCATGGGCCTACCATCTAGCCTAACACTAGGCACTGTCCTAATGCCGATGGCCTCAATCTCAGTCTTAGGAAACGGGCTCATCCTGGCTACGACATCCTCTCCTAGGTATGTTTTCTCTATTTTCAAGCCCCAGCTTAGTCTTGCCAACAACGGTCCTATGAATATAATCTCTTCTTGGCGCCTATGTAGTTCCTGAAGCCATTTCCTACAAACCTTTCCCATATTTATCTTGACACCAGTCTCCATACTCCATAAGTAGAACAGATCCTCTTTCGTCACCGTGTCCCTCTCTGCTTCCGATTTCCCTAAGTTGTGGCTTAAAAGCCTCCTAATGATTCTAAAGTCAGCTCTAGCCAGATGATGGCAGAAGACATTCCTCAACCTCTGAAATCTTGGTGAACTATTGTGCGAATTCAAAAGGCATAGTGCCTCTAGGTCTGATTGGAACTCATCCAGTAATCTCTCCGGGCTTGATAATCCTAGACATCTAGCCAGTTGGTTTGTTGCAATGTGATAGGTCTGTCTGAACAGCGAGAAGCTAATGGAAATCATATTGTCATTCTCCACCCTCTCGTTGAACTCGAGGGAAGAAATGAACTCGTAAACAATTGGTGAGCACGTCACCCCCTCCAGCTGAATACTTCAGCCCATTGAGGGTGACTCATCAACCTCTTGACGGATCTCTCGCAACTAAAACATTGGGCAATGTCTAGATCTAGGCTATATCCCTCAAATATGAACTCTTCTCCTGTGTCCTCCGAGGGATCACTTTCGAAATCTAACGCACTTGGGGTCGGCTGTCTTTTCGACGTTACTTCAACTTCATCTATTTTCTTGTTTGGTAAAACCATCCTGTTGTTTCCTATAGAATTAATTCAGTTAAAGTCAACAACTCACAAGATGTTTACATCAATAGTCAAGAATATATTTTTTTTCTTTCAAAACAATCGTGTAACACATGCACAATTTCATTGTCGATATTCAAGTTCTTCACATGATATATCCATCATTTTTATCACATTCATGCAAAAACTCTTCAAGTCTCGAGCACGTATACTTCAAGCTACTCATTCTTGTTTTTCTTAACACACTAAGACAATTTATCTCATGCATTCAAAACGTCCTCCTTGTTAAGCAAGTTCTAGCAAATAAGCATCTTTCATCTTTTAGTTTTCCACACTTTATAAATCTACCATACATCG